AGGAAGCTCTACGAGTCCCCCGGCGGTAAGAAAGGTTGACGGTTTACCGCCGGCGCCCAGTCTCGACGGACCTTTCGCTGATTTTTGGTCGGTTGAAAATTTTGTTCTCGAAATTCAACAATTCGTTTGAGCTCTAGTATTTTTTCTGACCATACTCGATCTCATTCCCGCTCGCCTTCTTAATCTCAGCTCGATCGGGTAAATATTTCTGTCCAAAAGCGTCGCGGCGGGATCGGCTCTTTCGAGTCATCTTCATACGCGTTGTCGGTATTTAGTACTAAACTCGAGCTGTAGGGCAGCTACAGAGCTCATTCTCACAGAAATCGATTGCGAATGATCAGGCGCGTTCGTCTGTTCCATCTAGAGGTCTGAACTCGGGCTTCTGCCCGAGCTAGGTTTGCGAAACTGTTCGTATTGTTCGAGTCATCTTGAGAGGTGCTCTCAGTTTTGTGCACTTAGCTCGGGCTGTAGAGGGGCTACAGGGCTCGTACTCACAGGAATCGATTCGGAGACATCAGGCGCGTCCGCCTCCGAAATCCAGAGCTCAGAACTCGGTGTGCTGCCCGAGCTAGGTTCAAAGCTATTCGTAGTCTTCAAGTCATCTTGAGAGGTGCTGTCCGTTTTCTGCACTTAACTCGAGCTGTAAGGGGCTGCAGGGCTGGTAATCACAGGAATCGATTGGGAGACATCAGGCGCGCCCGCCTGTTGCATTGAGAGGTCTGAACTCGGTCTGATACTCGAGCTAGATTCGCGAAACTATTTGTATTGTTCGAGTCATCTTCAGAGGTGCTGTCCGTTTTCTGCACTTAACTCGGGCTGTAAGGGGGCTGCAGGGCTTGTAATCACAGGAATCGATTCAGAGATATCAGGCGCGTCCGCCTGTTGCATTCAGAGGTCTGAACTCGGTCTGATACTCGAGCTAGATTCCCGAAACTATTTGTATTGTTCGAGTGATCTTGAGAGGTGCTGCCGATTTTCGCACGTAGCTCGCGCTGTAGGAGAGCTACGGAGCTCGTGCGCACAGGAAGCGATCCAGAAGCATGAGGGGCGTTCGGCTGTTGCGTCGAGAGGTCTGAAATCGCTTAGGCTGAAAAACTATCCGTTCTCTGCAATTTTTTCGACATTATATATGGTCAGGAAGCTCTACGAGTCCCCCGGCGGTAAGAAAGGTTGACGGTTTACCGCCGGCGCCCAGTTCCGGGGCGCCGGACAGCTAGTTGGCAAGAAAAATCTCGACGGACCTTTTGGTGACTTTTGGTCGGTTGAAAATTTTGTTCAGATTCAACCTTTCGTTAGAGCTCTAGTATTTTTTCCCGTGATTCTCGATCTGATTCCCGCTCACCATCTTGATCTCAGCTCGATCGGGTACCTTTTACTGCCAAAAAGCAGACTGCGGGATTGGCCGTTTCGAGTTATCTTGATACGCGCTCTCGGTATATTGGACTTAACTCGAGATAGAGGACAGCTACAGAGCTGGTAAGGACACCCCGTCGATTCAGAATGATCAGGCGCGTTCGTCTGTTGTACCCGGAGGTCTGAACTCGGTCTGCTAGCCGAGCTATGTCCGGAAAACTATTCGTATTATTCGAGTCATCTTGACAGGCGCTCTCGGTTTTCGTGCTTAACTCGAGCTATATGATAGCTACAGAGCTGATGCTTAGAAACTGATTCTAAATGATCAGTCGCGTTCGTATGTTGAATCCAGAGCTCTGAACTCGGTTTGCTGCCCGGCCTAGAATCACAAATCTATCTGTATTGTTCGAGTCATCTTGAGAGGTGCTGTCGGTTTTTTGTACTTATCTCGGGCTGTAGGGCGGCTACAGTGCTGGTAGTCACAGGAATCGATTTGGAGACATCAGGCGCGTCGTCTGTCAAATCCAGAGCTCGAAACTCGTCCGCGAAACTATTCGTATTGTTCGAGTCATCCTGAGAGGTGCTGTCGGTTTTCTGCACTTAACTCGGGCTGTTGGGGGTCTGTAGGGCTGGTAATCACAGGAATCGATTCAGAGACATCAGACGAGTCCGCCTGTCGCATTTAGAGGTCTGAACTCGGTCTGATACTCGAGCTAGGTCTGCCAAACTATTCGTATTGTTCGACTTATCTTGAGAGGCGCTGTCGATTTACGCACGTAACTCGGGCTGTAGGAGAGCAGAGAACTCGCACAGAAGACAAACGAGAAGCATGGGGGACGTTCGGCTGTTGCATCGAGAGGTCTGAAATCGCGTTGGCTGATAAACTATTCGTTCTCTGCATTTTTTTTGGTATTATTTCTGTCAGGAAGCTCTACGAGTCCCCGGCGGTAGGAAAAGTTGACGGTTTACCGCCGGCGCCAGTGGGCGCTACCAAGTGGGTCGGTTTTGCTCAGATTGGAAAGATATTTGACAATTCATTTTCATAAAGCAGATTTTACCTCGTAGAGCTCTTGGTTATCGATGAGCTAGAGGAATTCCGGCGCGGGGTGGAGCTAGTTAGTCGACCCGACCAGAAAGGATAAAGTGGTGACTTGGGTCGGTTTTGCTCAGATTTGGAAGATGTTTGATAATTCATTCTGAGAAAGCAGATTCTCACGCCGAGCATTCGCACATGAACTTTGTTCCCTGAGCAGCTCAGCTCTCTAGAGCCAGTTTTGGTATTAGTTGATTTCCCGGAACCGACTTCATCTTCACTCCCAAAATCGCAATTTGACATTTTTTCCAGAAAAGCTTCCAGAAGCTCTTCGCTTCGATCCTGAGCTTTCTTACGTGTGCAAGGAGCTCTACAAGGTTCCCGGCGGTGACCAGATTGACGGTTCACCGCCGGCGCCAGTAATTCCGGGGCTGGAGAGCTCGTTGGCAGGAAAAATCTCGACGGACCTTTTGCTGACTTTTGGTCGGTTGAAAATTTTGTTCAGATTCAACCATTCGTTAGAGCTCTAGTATTTTTTCCCGTGATATTCGATCTTATTTCGGCTCGCCATCTTGATCTCAGCTCGATCGGGTACCTTTTACTGCCAAAAAGCGTCTAGGCGGGATCGACCGTTTCAAGTCATCTTGATACGCGCTGTCGGTATACTGGACTTAACTCGAGATAAATGACAGCCAGAGAGCAGGCAAGCACACCTCATCGATTCAGAATGATCAGGCGCGTTTGTCTGTTGCATCGAGAGGTCTGAACTCGGTCTGCCAGCCGAGCTAGGCCCGCGAACCTATTCGCATTATTCGAGTCATCTTGACAGGCGCTCTCGGTTTTCTGTACTTAACTCCAGCTATAGGACAGCTACAGAGGTGATATTTACAGAAACTGATTCAGAATTATCCGTCGCGTTTGTCTGTTGAATCCAGAGCTCTGAAATCGGTCTGCTTCCCGATCTAGAATCGCAGAACTATTTGTATTGTTCGAGTCATCTTGAGAGGTGCTGTCGGTTTTCTGCACTGAACTCGGGCCGTAGGGGGGCTACAGTGATGGTGGTCAGAGGAATCGATTTCGAGACATCCGGCGCGTCCGCCTGTCGAACCGGGAGCTCGGAACTCGGTCTGCTGCCCGAACTAGGTCCGCGAAACTATTCGTATTGTTCGAGTCATCCTGAGAGGTGCTGTCAGTTTTCTGCACTTAAGTCGGCTGTAGGGGGCTGCAGGGCTGGTGATCACAGGAATCGATTCGGAGACATCAGACGCGTCCGCTTGTCGCATTCAGAGATCGGAACTCGGTGAGATACTCGATCTGGGTTTGCCAAACTATTCGTTTTGTCGAGTCATCTTGAGAGGTGCTGTCGATTTACGCACGTAACTCGGGCTGTAAAGGAGCTACAGAGCTTGTGCAGAGGACAATCCAGAAGCATCGGGGGCGTTCGGCTGTTGCGTCGAGAGGTCTGAAATCGCTTAGGCTGAAAAACTATTCGTTCCCAGCAATTTTTTTACATTATACATTGTCAGGAAGCTCTACGAGTCCCCCGGCGGTAAGAAAGGTTGACGGTTTACCGCCGGCGCCAATTGGCCGACCCGGCCTTAAGAGACAAAGTGGTGACTGTGGGTCGGTTTTGCTAAGATTTGAAAGATATTTGACAATTCATTTTGAGAAACCAGATTTTTCTCACGTGTAGTGGGTTATGCCTCGGCTGCCAGTTCAATTCTCAGGTCGGTAGCTGCAATATCACTATCAAAAGACTTGCAGGAACCGACTTTGGATGACAACCGAAAAATCGTGTTTTTTCGAGTTTTTCTGCTCTCGCTTCAGAAACTTGCTTCATGTGTTCCGAGGAGCGCTGTGCAACAAAAGAGCTCTACGAGGTGCCCGGCTCAAGCACTGCCGGCTCAAGCTCCGCGTGCGTTCATTTTCTCCTGCCTGGGGAACCTCCGCGAAGGTGAACGTTGAGCTAGCGTGGTGTTTGCAAATGCCCATCTCCCTGTACATCTTGCCTCTCTTTGTTGGCCTCTCATATTCATTCCTTGTTGCGGTGTGGTTGTGGCAATTTGTATTGTACCTTCGCCTAGCGTGGAGATCCGCCGTGTGCGGGTGACTTATTCCTGAATTTGATTCTTGTTTCTCGTTGCACGAATCATGCCACATGTTCGCAGTTGTCACAGGCGAGCTGCACGAAGATCTCGGGCCGTTTATTTGGGCTTCTGCAAGCCGCCATGTATTCCCGTTTGCTTGGACTCGTTGTTGCCAAACACCGATACTTATACGATTCTTCTGACAGAATTGGCTGCTCCGCCTGGATTGGAGGGACACTGCAGAGGGGAGATCCAGGAAGTGGGAGTGCAGACTTTGTCTTCTTTTTGCCGGACTCTGTGTGTCGATGTGCAAACGGAGACCCCCCCGACTCTTTGTCATGCCCATTCCTATGAGAGTGCAGTTGGGAGTTCAACAGCAGTTGGGAGTGCAACATTTGGAAGTTCCGCAGTTGGTTTGACTTTTTTGCCAGACCCATTCTTATGACAGTGCAGTTGGGAGTTCAACAGTTGGGAGTTCCGCTGCCGCCAGCGTGCAGGACGCCTGTGTACAAACTCAGCTCTCTGTAATGGACGCCTGTGTGCAAACAGAGAATCTTGTGTCTGGTATGCACAACGGTGCGGAAGTGGACGCTTTCACGGATTCCCCAAACGTTTCTTCAATGGATGCTGGCGTGCAAACTCAGTTCACTGGCAAGGACGCCTGTGTGCAAACTCAGTTCACTTCAATGGATGCTGGCGTGCAAACTCAGTGGGTCTACGCCTTCATGAGCTCTACGCAAAGGCAGACGCCTGCGTGCAAGGAAGCTCTACGCCTTCGTGAGTCAGGTGGGGCAGATGTGCAGGCAGTGGTCTCATTTTCTTCTGACACGTATGCAGCTCTTTCATATTCTTCTTCTTCTGATGTGAAGGCAGTGGTCTCATCTTCTTCCGATGTGAAGGCCAAGGGGACTTCCATGTGCTCTCAGGCCACCATTGCCGATGTTAAGGCATGGATTGGCGCTGTTGGCAGTATCAACGAGTCGAATGCGATCCAGTATTTAAAGAATGGAGTGGATTTGTTTGCAGAACTTCTGACAGAAGGTGGGATCCCTGCAAAGGCCAGGGCAAATTATGCTCTGCGGAAGCGCGGGGCGTTCGAGAATGTGCAAGCGACGTTGGAGGACCTTCTGGAATTCTTCGATAGGCACAGATATCTTACAGGGCAGATGAACCGTGCCGAGGCTGCCAAGTTTCTACAGGATTCCAAGTGCGACGAATTCCGAATCCAATTCTATGGACGTCCGAGGAACGATACAACGTCGTCATGTGGAAGTACTGCCTGCAAAGGCAAAGGCAAAGGCAAAGGTAAAGGCGCCGACATAGGAGGTCAGGAGTTTGACGAAGTGTGTAGGTTCGGTAGGACGTTGACGGACTTTGCACGAAGGTGTAAATCTCAGGTTTGGCCTCTGCGGTAGATTTTCGTTTTCTTCGAGTGATTCCTTTCAATTTTACATTATATATGGAAATCTCCTTATTCAGTGCATAGTCTATGCATTTGCTTGAGCTCTTGTAATTCGGTGTGTGCATGTTCAGTTCTTGGCCAGGTCTCCTGGCTCTATTGTCGTAATTTCTAGTTTCGCCTTTTCAGTGTTCTCACTGTTGTAGGGTTCTGATCCCTGATACAAGTGATCAGCGGCGGAGCGCATCTGCGATGTTCTCCCACAGGTTGTGCGAACGTCTTTGATCATGCATGTGTCTGTTTCTCTATAGGAGCGGACTGCTTGCTTGACAATTTTGAGGCTTCGCTTCGCCTGAGACTTCGTTTGACCTGGCCTCAGTGGCCAAGATGGCCCCAGCAAAGACGCAAAAAACCTGGTTGACGGTGTACCGCCGGTTCCCAGTACATCGTAGAGCTCTTCGGCAGCGATGAGCTAGAGGAATTCCGGCGCGGAGTGGAGCTAGTTGGTCGAGCGACCAGAAAGGGCAAAGCGACAACTTTTGGGTGCTTTTACGAATATGTGAAAGATATTTGACTATTTATTGTGAGAAAGCAGTTTTTTTCGCACCTGTAAAAGGTTATGAGAGTCTCTGCGTCTTAATATGAGCTCCCTAGGCGCACTTTCACTACCGAAACACTTGGAGCAACCAACTTCATTTCGACATGAAAAAATAATGTTCATTTTTTCGAGAAATGCCTCCAGAAGCTCTCTCTTCAAACTCTGAGCTCTCACGCGTGAACGGAGCTCTACGAGGTTCCCGGCGATGACCAGGTTCACGGTTCACCGCCGGCGCCAGTGAAGACATCAGACGCGTCCGCCTGTCGAATCCAGAGCTCGGAACTCGGCTGCCCGAACTGGGTCCGCCTGGTAATCACAGGAATCGATTTGGAGACATCAGACGCGTCCGCCTCTTACATTCAGAGGTCTGAACTCGGTCTGATACTCGAGCTGGGTTTGCCAAACTGTTCGTTTTGTTCGAGTCATCTTGAGAGGTGCTGTCGATTTACGCGCGTAACTCGGGCTGTAGGACAGCTGCAGAGCTCATGCAGAAGACAATCCAGAAGCATCGGGGGCGTTTGGCTGTTGCATCGAGAGGTCTGAAATGGCTCGGGCTGAAAAATTATTCGTTCTCTGCAATTTTCATTCGACATTTATATTGTGAGGAAGCTCTACGAGTCCCCCGGCGGTGAGAAAGGTTGACGGTTTACCGCCGGCGCCCAGTTCCCAAGGCTCTCTTCGCTCTCCGGGTTTTGGACGCGACCAAGTTTGAAAGATATTTGACAATTCATTTCGAGAAAGCAGATTTTTGCGCCGAGCATTGGAATGTCAAATTTGTTATCAGAGCAGCTCACCTCGCTAGAGCCAGTTTTACTATCCGAAGATTAGAAGGAAGCGAGATGAAAAAAATGAAAATTGAACGTGTTTCTAGAAATGCTCCAATAAGCTGTCTGCTTTGAATCTAAGCACTCTTACGCGTGCAAAGAGCTCTACAAGGTTCCCGGCAGTGACCAGGTTGACGGTTCACCTCCGGCGCCAGTTGGCACGACCCGGACCTGACATATAATAACTCGTAGAGCTTTCCTGAGCTAGTTGCTGGAAGCTAAGAGTAATTCCGGGGCGCTGGAGAGCTAGTTGGCAAGAAAAATTTGGTGACTTTTGGTTGATTCAAAATTTTGTTGTCGAAATTCAACCGTTAGAGCTCTAGTGCCTCGTGGAGATCTTCGGCATCGATGAGCTCGAGGTATTCCGGCGCGTGGTGAGCGAGTTGGTCGATCCGACGAGAAAGGACGAAGTGATAACTTTGCGGATTTTGCGAATATTTGAAAGATATTGGACCATTTATTTTGAGAGCAGATTTTTACGCGTAGCATTAGTATCTGAACTACATTCTGAAGCAGCTTAGCTCTCCAGAGAGAGTTTTACCATCTGAAAATGAGCGGGAACCGAAACCGGAGTGACATAGAAAAATGAAAAGTTGAGTTTTTTCGAGAAAGACCCGGAGAAGCTGTCTGCTTCGATTCTCAGCACTTTAGTACCTGCAAGGAGCTCTACGAGGTTTCCGGCGGTGACCAGGTTCACGGTTCTCCGCCGGCGCCAGTATTTCTTCCGTGATATTCGATCTCATTCCCGCTCGGCGTCTCAATCTCAGCTCGATCGAGTGGATATTACTGCCAAAAAGCATCCCGGCGGGATCGGCTGTTTCGAGTCATCTTGATACGCGTTGACAGCTTTTTGTACTTACCTCGGGCTGTGGGGCGGCTGCACAGGGCTGGCAATCACAGAAACTAATTCGGAGACATCAGGCGCGTCCGCCTGTTGCATGCAGAGGTATGAACTCGATCTGCTACTCGAGCTAGGCAAAACTATTCGTATCGCTCGGGTCTGTCGGATTTCTGTACTTAACTCGATCTCTGGGGGAGCTACAGAGATACTACGCACAGAAACCTGCATACTCGAGCTAGGCCGTGAAACTATTCGTATCGTTCGAGTCATCTCGAGAGATGCTGTCGGTTTTTGCACGTAACTTGGGCTGTAGGAGAGGTATAGAGCTCATACGGACAGAAACTTATTCAAAATTATCAGGTTTGCTCGTCTGTTGCATCCAGAGGTCTGAATTGGGTCTGCTACTCGGGCCAGGTTGTAAAACTATTTGTATTCTGAGTGATCTTGACAGATGTGGTTCAGCTTCTGTACTGAATTCGGGCTGTAGGAGAGCTACAGAGCTGGTGCGCGCAGAAATTGATGCAGAAGCATTGGGAGCGTTCGTCTGTTGCATCGAGAGCCTGAACTCGGGGTGCTACCCGAGCTAGGTTCACAACAAAATCGTAATCTACCGACAATTTTTGTCCAGATGATGGTGAATTTCTTCACTGAACTCGCAGAGCAGCTCGAGAGCTCTTTGGCCGAAAAATCAGAAGGACATCATGAAGCGCGAAGCATCTAGGCGCTTGGTTTGGGTCTGTTCTGAGCGCAGACGCCAAACACGGATTCGTGCACGCTGCAGATGAGCTATAGGATTTTTCAGCACAGCCACTAGACGCTTGAGATCAGTCTGCTATCAGCGCTCGGGCTGAAAAACTATTCGTTCTCTGCTAATTCTTTGGACATAATATATGGTCAGGAAGCTCTACGAGTCCCGGCGGTGAGAAAGGTTGACGGTTTACCGCCGGCGCCCAGTGTGTGAACTTTGGGCCGTTTGGGCAAACATTGTGAGATATTTGAACATTCGTTTGAAGAAACGGTACTTTTCGCACCTGTAGTGGGTTGTGCCGCGTCTGCCAGTGAAATTTTGCAGGTCAGCAGCTGCAACAACTCGTAGAGCTTCCCTTAGCTAGTTGCTGGAAGCTTAAGAGTAATTCTGGGCCGCTGGAGAGCTAGTTGGCAAGAACAATCTCGACGGACCTTTTGCTAACTTTTGGTGGGTTGAATATTTTCTTCTCCAAATTCAAGCATTCGTTAGAGATCTAGTATGTTTCTCATGATATTCGATCTTTTTCCCGCTCGCCGTCTTGATCTTAGCTCGATCGGGTACCTTTTACTGCCAAAAAGCAGGTTGGCGGGATCGGCCGATTCGAGTTATCTCGACAGACGTTGTCGGTTTTTTGCATTTAACTCGAGCTATAGGACAGCTGCAGATCTGATACTTACAGAAACCGATTTAGAATAATGAGGCGCGTTTGTCTGTTGAAGTCAGAGCTCTGATCTCGGTTTGCTGCCCGAGCTGGGTGCGCGAAACTATTTGTGCTGTTGGAGTTTTCTTGAGAGGTGCTGTTGGTTTTCTGCACTTAACTCGGGCTGTAGGGGGGCTACAGGGCGGATAATCAGGCGCGTCCGCCTGTCGCATTCAGAGGTCTGAACTCCGTCTGCTACTCGAGCTAGGTTCGCGGAACTATTCGTATTGTTCGAGTCATCTTGAGAGGTGCTGTCGGTTTTCTGCACTTAACTCGGGCTGTAGGGAGGTTACAGGGCTAATAATCACAGGAATCGATTGGGAGACATCAGGCGCGTCCGCCTGTCGCATTCAGAGGTCTGAACTCGGTCTGCTACTCGAGCTAGGTTCGCGAAACTATTCGTATTGTTCGAGTCATCTTGAGAGGTGCTGTCGATTTTCGCACGTAACTCGGGCTGTAGGAGAGCTACAGAGCTGATGCGCACAGAAACTGATTTGAAATCATTGTGCGCGTTCGTCCATCCAGAGGTCTGAACTGGGTTCGCTACTCGGGCTAGGTCCGCAAAACTATTTGTATTCTTCAAGTCACCTTGGCAGATGTTGTCCCTTTTCTGTATTGAACTCGGGCTGTAGGAGAGCTACGAGCTGGTACGCACAGGAAGCGATCCAGAAGTATCAGGGGCGTTCGGCTGTTGCATCGAGAGGTCTGAAATCGCTCGGGCTGAAAAACTGTTCGTTCTCTACAATTATTTTGACATTATGTATGGTCAGGACGCTCTACGAGTCCCCCGGCGGTAAGAAAGGTTGACGGTTTACCGCCGGCGCCCAGTATTATTATTAAAACACTTGGCGGAACCGACTTTCGATGACAACACTTGATGAAGCTCTTTCCATGTGTTCCGAGCAGCGCCGCGCCAGAAGAAGAGCTCTACGAGGCTCCCGGCAGTAACCAGGTTGACGGTTTACCGCCGGTTCCCTGTATACAGACACTGATTCAGAATCATCAGGGTCGTTCGTCTGTTGCATCCAGAGGTCTCAACTGGGTCTGCTACTCGGGCTAGGTCCGCAAAATTATTGGTATTCTTCGAGTCATCTTGACAGATGTTGTCAATTTTCTGTATTGAATTCGGTCTGTAGGAGAGGTGCAAAGCTGGTGAGTACAGACACTGATGTAAACGCATTGGGAGTGTTCGGGGTGGCACCGAATTTCAGAAATGTGGCAAATCTCATGTGTTTTTGGACTCTGACCCCGCGGATCTGCGTGAGGGGTGGCACCGAATTTCAGAAATCTTGAAAATCCCATGTA